TGTGGGACCACATACCCAGGACAGCACCCAGCCTGCAGGGCTTCCCAGAGAAAGTGCACATGGAGGATGAACAGGACTCGGTCACACAAAACGGAAAGGGTAGCACAGGACAGCTATGGGCCCCTGAGCACCCAGAATTCACCAGTGAGATGGACTCAGTAATAATTACAGTAAACTTGGCCCTCACAGAGGACTTCAGTGTTAGCACTTTACATAGGTGACTTATCTAATCCCCCGAAACCATCGCTGACAGTCGATAATCTATTATCCCTATGGTGCAGATGTGGCAAGAGAGACACCAGCCTGAGAAATGTGTCCAACTCCGCTCTAAGTGGCAGAGGCCACATGTGAATGCAGGCTTCAGTGTCAACGCTGCGGACCGCCGTACCTACCCATCTAGGGAGCAGTTAGGCTATGGCTTTGCAAAATCACGCATTTGCGGTCACATTTTTCAAAGCACAATTGTTAGCGTTCGGATCTAAATTGTCCCCCAAAGGCCTCCTGGGTTCAGAGGTGGGACTTCTAGAAGTTGATTGGATCATGGGGGGTACTACAGTCATCTGTGGGTTAATCCATTAATGGATTCAGTAGCTCAGTGTGCTCTTGGTGAGAAAAGGCAGGTCACTGAGGACATAGCCCCTCTCTGCCTCTACTTCCGGGTCATCAAGATGTGAATAGTGCCAGACCCTTCTGCCATGCATTGTCTGCTTTGGAGTCCACCAACTATGGACTGAAACCTTTCAAAACCTTGAGCCCAAATAAGCCTACCCTCTGTTAATGTGTGGGTGTCCGATACTCTATCAATACTGCATCGCAGTGATGATAAAATGACTAAAACACCAATTATACCCAAAACCTTCAATGCAACCAGGGCCTCCAGGTATGTATTTGCTCTCAGCAGAAAGGCCTGCAATCTGAAACAGCTCCTAGACGTGAGTAGAAATGATGGCCCTCACATCTGCCTTCTCCTCCCTTCCCTTGAGGAAAAAGAAACTTACAATTTAAAAGAACTTCTTAAGCCCCACCAAAACAGGTTGGGCCCGCTTCTTGTCAGACACAGAAGAACAAAGCAGGGCCCCTACCCTTCCACTGCATTCTTTCTGAGCTCCAAAGGACCTTTCCCAATATTGATGGATGAAGGTCATGGCCCTGGGAGTGGCCAGGTTGACACATGTCCACGCACTGGTTCCAGCAGCCTTTGATCACAGTCCGTTTCTTGTCACCCTGCAGCCCCATGGCTGGTCTCTTCCTGCTTAGGGGCAGCGGTATTGTGTCATCCTCTACTGTTTGGTCTGTAGAGTTTGATTGGCCTTTGTTATTTTGAATGAGCAGATGAATCTCAAATTAGCCTCTAGCAGAATCAGCCTTCTTGTTGATTCATGCTAGGAGTCAATGCTCTGTATACAATAGGCAAATCATCAGGTTTGGGCATCCTGCTGGGAGAGTATGTTGGAGGGGGAAAAAAAAAGAAAAAAACAAACTGGCTAAATTTTAAATGTGAGTATTTCAGGCATTCCTGAAATGGAATAATGAAAAAGTTAGATCACGCTCTACCTATGTGAAAATGAATAACAGCCCTATTAATAGCAAAAGACCCAAAGATGCCAGGCAGGTTTACCTTCATATAAACTTGGAAATCAGCTTGCATGGGTTTAAATTCCATTTATAATAACAGTTATATGATTTTTAAAGAGTGGCTTTTATCTTCAGTGCTGAGGATAGTACCCAGGGCCTCATGTTTGCTAGACAAGTGTTCTGCCAGTGAGCCACTGACCAGTCCCTAAGATTTGTGTCTTTAAAATGATATTTAAGGGGGCTGGGGATTTAGCTCAGTGGCACAGCACCTGCCTAGCAAGTGCAAGGTCATGAGTTCGATTCCTGATACCGGAAGAAAAACAACAACAACAACAAAATTTAGAAAATGATGTTTAAGTAGTTTTGGGCAGGTAAATAAATATTCAGAATTCATATCACAGGAAATGATGGCTGAGGTAGAGTCCTAATCAAGAACTGAGTTTCACAACATCAGCTAGTAGGGAGCCAAAAGCCTTTTAAATCACTGTATACCAGCAGCCAGAAAAACCCACTGTGAATTCTTTTGGATGATACAATCTATTCGCTCAGAAATCTTCCCACCAGGTACTCCAGGGCTTCTCTGAAATGCTATACCATCTCACTCATTTGAAAAAAAATCTAACCTTAAAATAATTTATGAAATTCATTCCTCCTCTGCAGCACAAAGAAGAAAATTCTCCACCATGAAGGGGGTACAGTAAAAAGTACACAAAAGTGATTTGTGTAAAAACTAAACCAGTGGCAAGCCAAATTACAGCTGCTAAAAAATAATAGTACGGAAGCCAAATTACAGCTGCTAAAAAATAATAGTACGGAATCTTCCAAAGTTAAGAGTTTCAGCTGATGGCAGCCATAAACATATTCTAAGCAAACATCTTAGTGGGCTGTCGACCACCTGATCACCTCTGAGCAGGTACAATGACAAACAATAACATGATTTCTAGACAGAAAAGCAAAGAAATCCTTCCAAATCTATATTTCCATTGTCCTCAAATTTTCAAAGATCTGAGCTCTCACCATTACTGGATTATGAATATATTTCCAGGGAAAGAGAAGAAGGCATGAGCTGGAGATAAGAAAAGCAGCATACTGTCTTTGCTATCAAAACATTATTAAATTCATTCCTTTGACATTCTGACAGTAATTGCACGGAGAGGGATTGGATTTTGTTAAAATTACTTTAAAAGGGTTGTTGAGAATTTCCTGCAGCATAGACCGGTGTGCAGCGCACAGCTCTCGCTTGATTTTCCTTTGTTGTCCTCATGATCCTGAGGGGCTCGGCCCTCTTCTCATTTCTGACAGCACGCAGCCCTTGGAAAAACACCCCGAGTCCCACAGAAGGCTCTGCCACTTGCAGCCCCCTGGTTCTATTTTCTGCTGTGACCCTCGGAGTCTGTAATCCCAGCTCATTCATTCGTGAGGTTTCTGACTCTGTCACCTTAATAAACAAAGGCAAAGCCAGGCATCCTTACAACCATCATTTTGCTAATAATGGCAGAGCCGTGACACTGTAGGCGACACCAGGGTATTGGTGGGAAGAGCCAAAAGCAGTGCTATGCACTTTAAATTTCTGAATGTTTCCATCCTTGATGATGTAAACCCGAAGAGTTCTCGTAAGCGAGACGCTCCCTCCCCTCAGTGCACGAGCCCTCACAGTGCCTGGCCAGGGCTGGCTCCTGGAAAGCCCTGAGCAGAGGGACTTCCTCATGCTCCTTGGGTTTAGCAGTGACAAAGCTGCGCATCCCTGATGCCACCCTCATTAGGGAGGAAACAGCCCTCTCCGCCTGCAAAGTATGAGAGTTCTGACGGCCTCAAACTGCTTTCTTCACTGATCAGAAAATAATGGCTTTCAGACAGATAAAAGGTAGCGTCAGGTGTTAAATTTTGAAAGAAATGCACATTTCTTCAAAGGATTTAACTGGGAGTTGTTGTATGACCCAGCAATTCCACTCCCAGCAAAGCAAGAGAAATGAAAGCATGTTCACACAAAAATCTGTCTACAAGTGTTCATCGCAACATTGTCCATAATAGCCCAAAAGTGGAAACAACTCAAAATCCATCGGTTGATTAAAAGATCAACCAAAGGGGACGTATCCATGCAATGCAATGTTATTTGCCTATAAAAAGGAAGGAGGTACTAAAGCATGCTATAACACGGATGAATCTGAACAGTATTTGGCTAAGCAGAAGACATCAATCACAAAAGACACTGCATCGTGAATGATTCCATTTATATGAAATGTCCGGAGTAGGCAAATCCATAGAGACAGAGCACAGATTAGTAGTTGCCAGGAGTTAGCAAAAGGGAAGGACAGGAAGCAGCTACTAATAAGACAAGGTTTCCTTGGGGGGTAATAAAAATATTCTAAAATTAGATTGTGATGATAGTTGCACAACACTGAATAAACTAAAGCTACTGGATTATACACTTTCATACCGTGAGTTTTAGAGCATATAAAAATCAGATCTCAGTTTTTAAATATTTTAAATACTTAAATATATTTTAAATATTTAAACATATGTGTATATGCAGATCCATACACGTATCTTATACGTTGACTGTATTTCTGAAAATGAAAATTACTTAAGCATGATTATTAATTTTTCTCAATAGCTGAGTAACTAGTGATGAAGCATTTCATGCAGGAAGACCCATACATTTATTAGTGAAGCCAATAATGTGGGGGAAAGGAAAGAGGGTGTTTTTACTTTTTAAATTTATTTTATTATCACACTCAAAGTAGGCAACCAACATCAACAGCAATATTGGAGAAGAGTGTTTCCATCTGGTTTCTTTGTAGAGCCTCTTTCTAGGAGGGAACAAGCTGGTGTAAACACACTGGTTTCTGGGGAACAGTTCTAGACTTCAAGGGCAAGTCCATACTTTGAATGGTGCATTGGGTACAACTGAATGAAACTGCTACTGAGCAGCTACACGTGAAGGCAAACACAATGAAAGCACCGTCCCTAGGACCAGCTGAGCAGTCACCTCAGGCTGCCTCACCCCGGATTCTTTTTCCAGACACCTGATCCACTGGTCTCCCAACTTTGTAAATAATAAGAACAGTACCTACCACTTACCTGGTGCTTACTGAGCGACAAGCAGTGTTCAAGCTCTTTCTATCACTTCATGGGTCATGACGTCAATAGAGAGAGAAGTAGTATTATTCCCGTTTCACAGATGAAGAGGGGGAAGTTCAGAGAAGTGAAGTTGTTCAAGGTTAAAGAACCATCAAAGGGCAGAGCCAGGACACAAGCCCAGGCACCCCGGCTTTACACTCTACTCTTTGAACACTACATGATGTTAACCCAATTTATAAAACAGTTCTGTAGAGAATTTGTGAGACAGGACGCCATTACTTAGCCTTGCTTCGAGCATCCATTTAGCAAAGACTCGGCAATGATGAGCGTGACACAGCCCTTACCTGTGGACCACCCCGACCCGGTGCAGGTGCTCCACTGCAGAGATGAGCTGCCGGATGTATCTGCGGGCTTCGGACTCCTCCAGCCGCTTCTTCTCATAGATCTTGTGCATCAGGTTACCCCCAGGGCACAGCTCCATGACCAGGTAGTAGCTGTTTTCTGTCTCTAAGATATCGAGGAGCTGCGTGATGTTGGGGTGGCGGATCATCTGCTGGATCTGCCCCTCCCGCCGCAGGTTTTTGGTGACATAGGTGTCCTTTTTGGCTCTCTTCTTATCAATGACTTTGATGGCCACCTAAGAAGTCAAGAGCATAAGTGTTATTAGACCCTGTGGGCCAAGGTTATTCCTCAACTACTCTCAAGAACTCTAGGAAAATACAACATCATCAAGAGTAGAGATGTGGCTCCATGGTAGACTGTGTGCCTAGCATGCGCAAGTCGCTGGGTGCCAGTGCCAGCACCATGAAAAAATTATTAATTAACTAAAATGGCATCAAAGGAAAAAGTAGAACATCAGGAAAAAACCAAAAGTTTCATTTGTTATGGAAGAGCATGGAGTTTATTTAAAGAAAGTTCTAGAACTAGGGTTCCAGAATGCTCAGCTAAGGGTTATGTCAAATGGTTCCTTCAGGGAAGAGGACAGGAGTGAAGTCCCAACTTCCGGAGCAAGGGGCTCTCCCCACTGGTCCTCTGGCCTCCCCTGGTATCTGCTCAGCCCCTGAGTGGTGCTGGTGCCACAGCTAGCTGCCCCTGCCTCACCTCCCCTCTGGTCACCCAGCGCCTTTCCCCCAGCACATGGTGCCCCTGTTTCTCAGGAACGCCCTGTGCAGAGCCAGCGAGCCACTGGCGGGAGGACAAAGACAGCAGGCTGTACATTTCTATTAATCGCCTTTTCGGTGATTATATTTTGTACTTGCCTCATAGTGAGCTCAATATACTAGTGTATTAGTACATTAGTACATTATAGATATGTAGGTAAATGATGGATACTTTGGCAGTGAGAGACTCAAATGTGATCTGTGGACATAGTTCATGACAAAATGAATAAATAAAATCCTTAGATCTGGGGCCAGGGATGTAGCTCAGCGGCACAAGTGCCTGCCTGGCAAGCGCACGGTGCTGAGTTCGATTTCCAGTACCAAAAAAAAAAACCTTAGATCTAATGTACTGCATGGTGACTGCAGTTCACAATAAAGTATTGCACACTTGAAAACTGCTAAGGGTGTAGATCTTAAATGTTCTTAACAGGCACACAAAATGGTAACTGTGAGGTGATGGACACATTAATGAGCTTGACAGTGGTAACCATTTCACAATGTACACACATATCAAAGCATCACACTCTGCACAGGAACAATATGCTCTACTTCACTATCACTTAAGCCTCAAAAAAGCTGTAAAACAATACTTTAAGAAAAAAAAGAAAAAAAAAAAGTAGAAACTACAGGCGCTACCAGCTAGCCTAGACTAGGGCACTGCTAAACTAGGGCACTGATACCCTAATTCTTCTCCGAGACTGTCATCCTAGACTCCTGAATTCACTCTATGCCCTGCCTCAAAATCAATGGGCCCAGAAGCCTGGTTTCTTGCCAAAGTTTTTTAGGGCTTACTGCACAAAAGCTTTTGGGGCATCTTCTTGTCAGCCGTACCATGGATGACGGGTTTCCTTCACACACTCAAATCCTCCAGTGGCCAAAGCCCAACTCAAGAGACCTTCTCTTTCTAGAGAGACCTCCTCCCCACGTTCCTGAACACTTGGCACTGTACGATGGTAAAGCGCTCATTGTTGTAACATGGCCCACTCCTGTTCCCCACACACAATGTCTTATAAACAGTAAGTGACTAGTGAGGTACTAACCAATGCAATCATCAAGCAAAAGAGGCTATAAAGAGCTGAATCTGTTATCTCTGCTGAAGAGCAAAGTTTTGTCTTAATAAGAAATTTCAGGCCCTTTATCCAAAGATATAGAGAACAGCCAAGGGCTGATGATAATCAACAAAGGGAACAGGACCAGCTGGGAAGGCTTCTGCTGACACATATCTCACAGCAGGGACCTATGTGTCCTAAGTCCGAGGCCAGCATTGCTGGCTCTCGGAAGTTACTTTCACTCTGGTTGTGGGTCAGCCTAACTCATTCAACGGAGGCTAGACTAACAGCTTTATAAATTACACTTCTTCCTGATTCCACTCTAAATATATTTATGTCTATCCTCCTGGGGGAATGGGAAAAAGATGCTGAAAAGTACAATTAAGTTCTATCTCCGCTTAACTCTGTTGCAATGTTATAAAAATTACACCCTTTGGCAACAAAAATCTTAAAAGTACTATGAATAAACAGCAGTCTAAAAGCCAGACAGTAAGACGATCAGCCTTTTTTTCTTTTAACAGAGCACATAAGTATTGTTAGGATAACTTATTTAGCTTAATTGCCTGTGCTAGGTTGAATAATAGCAAGAAAGAATTAAATGCAAATCCCTGAATCACATCAATGTGACTGTATTTGGGAAAAAAGACTGCAGATATGGTTCAGTGCAAGACTTTGAGATGAGATTTACCTGAATTCTCCGGATAGGCCTTATATGTCCTACACGTCCTTACAAAATAGAGACAGAGGAAAATTTTTGTACAAATAAAGAGAAGGCCATGTGAAGAAGGAGGTAGAGATGAGAGATGGGGCCACAAGCCAAGGATCACTGACATCCTCCAGAAACAGGAAGAGGCAAGGGCAGATTCCTCCCCTAGAGGTTCCAGAGGGCATACAGGCACTGCTAATACTTTGATTGTAGATGCCTGGCCACAGGAACTATGAGAGAAATCATTTCCTACATTAAGCCACCATGTTGGGCTGGGGGTATAGCTCAGTGGCATAAGTGTGTGTCTGGCAAGTGCAAGGTCCTGAGTTTGATTCCCGGTACAAAAAAAAAAAGCCACCATGTTTGTAGAAATTTGTTACAGCAGCCACAAGAAACTAATACCTTCTTTAGGGAAGAAAATAAAAGACAGAAACTTTTACCTGATACAGCGCCTCTAGGGTACTTCTCCAGGCCTCATGAGCCCCTCTTTGGAATAATGAATAACACCACTGTTACAGTTTGGATCAAAAAATATCCTCCAAGACAGGCATAGTGGGTGACACGTGTAATCCCAGCACTCTGGGAAGCTGAGATAGGAGGATCACAAATTCAAGATCAGCCTGGGCAACTCAGCAAGATCCTGACTCAAAATTTTAAAAAATCTAAAAAGGGTTGGGGAGGTAGCTCAGCATGAAGGCCCTGGGCTCTATATCCAGTACAGTAGTGCTAGCGGGGGAAAAGAAAGTACTCTGAAAGTGCACTAATTTCATTAAGGGATCAGTCCATTCATAGGGTCACAGTTGAACTAGCTGTTAGGAAGCAGGATCCTATTAGAGGAAGTAGGTCAATTAGAATGTTATATGCATGCTTTGGCATGTTATATCCTATCCTCAGCCCCTTTCTCTCTTTCTGGCTCTTCCTTGTTTTCTCTGTTCCTGGCTGCCGTGAGGTGAGCAGCTTTCCTCTGCTATGCCCTTTTGCTCTGCTGTTTCTCCCTTGAAGCCAGCCAACCATGGACTGAAACTTCTTAAACCATAAGCTGAAAATAAATCTTTCCTCCATATATATATATATCAGATACTTTGTCCCAGCTACAGAGAAGTGACTAATACACCACCTTTTACCTGCACTGTGATCATTTCTTCAACTAGCAATATGTGATACAATCCTCCCTTTCTCTCTATGCATGTGCCTTTTACCTGCAGCCTCTCTCTGCTCCTTATTCCTTTCCTTCACTGCAATCCCAGGGGGCTCCTGACAATTCGTGACTAAATTCCCCACCTTCCCCCCTGTTCCCACCAGACCGTATGTGACCCATGAGGAGTCAGGTCACAACTACCACCTCACCCGAGCCCCACTCCCAAGGCTGAACCAACCATGCTGGGGTTTTGTACCTGTACAATCCGTATAAGACCCTAGGAAGTGGTGAGCAAATATCTGTGACAGCCACCCCTATGGACAGTATTTGGAGCACAGGTGGCTCCTCCCAGGCAGCTCCTCCCATCACAGGTGGCCCCTCCCATCATGATCACAACCCTATGATTATCATAATCTTAACAGCACTTGCTTCCAACATGCCAGGTCAAGGTGGGTTCACCTGGTCTTTTCTTGGGAGGGGTGTTCTTCTTATACTTTCCTACTTCTGGGCAATGCAGTACACATGCTCCTTGATTTTTAATGAGTTCCATCTTGATAAACTCACCAAAAATACTGTTAAGTAGAAAATTCACTGAATTCCATAACCCATGGACCAGCCTGGCTTAGTGACATGGTGTGCTATAGCACATCAGCTGTTCCTCTTCACGGTCAACCAGCTGACCGGTAGCTGAGCTCACTGCTGCTGCCAAGCATGGGGAGAGAAAGGACTGTACCCCATAGCGCTAGTCCAGGGAAAGATCAAAATGCAAAACAACCAACTGGGGTCTCTACTGAATATAGATTGTTTTCTTACCATCATAACAGTCAGAAATCCTAGGTTAAACCATCTTCACTCAGGGACTGTTTCCAAACGGTCTCCCAGCTTCTCTCAACTTCTTGCTCTTCTTCTGTCCCTCAGCCTCCCTTTCCCAAAGGTGAGCAGTGAGGCAGTGTGTGATCCAAGATGGGAAACGGGAAACATCCCAGGGAAAACCACCCAGTCCTGCCACCTCCCACCAGCCCCAGCTTGGGGCCATCTTACGGAGGCCTCCGCAAAGTAGAGCTGAAAAAAACCCCTGAAGAAAGGCCCATACCCTAATCTCTGGAAGTGGTAACAGCTCCTGATTTGCAGACATGATGAAGTGAAAGGACCTAAGATGCGAAAACTGTCCTTCATTAACTCATAAGCCCCAAAGCCTTCACTAATGGCCTTAAAGGGGGGAGGTGACCCCCCACACACACACACACACAGAGACGCCATGCAAAGGAGAGAAAGGCTGGTGTGGCCAAAAGCCCAGGGATGCCAGCAGCATTCCAACCAGAAGTTGGAAAAGGCAAAGTTCAGATCTCCTGGAGGGCCTCTAGAGGGAACATGGCCCTGTTGATATCTTGACTTTGGTCCAATGAAACTGATTTTGGACTTCCAGCCTCCAGACAATAGAGAATAATTTTCTGTTGTTTTAGTCACTGATTTTGTGGTAATTTGTTACAGCAGCCCCAGAAAACTAACATACCAGGTGTGTCCCCCAGCATCATTTGGTGTGTGTGTGGTTTTTTTTTTTTTTTTTTTTTTTTTGAGATAGGG